AGCCAACACAGCAAAATAAACCCCAAACCCTCATCCAAGAGCATAGCTCATTAAAAAGAATCAAAATCGAAGAAAACAAAATAAACACGTTTACCAATGCAGCACACACAAGGCACTTACAGATACACAGCATATCACAGCACTGCTCAGACGAAAAGCCTGGCAAGGAGGCAGTCTACAAGGGCAAAGTACAAAACCCATACGAAATCAAAGCAGGCAAGACAGACAACAATACCCACCCCAGAGCTAAACCTGCAAAAATCAGTTCCACAAAGGAAAAAAAAAAACAAAACAAACAAAACACAACAACAACAAGCAAAATGCAAGAAACAAAAGATTCACAGATAATGGAAACTCACAGGAAATAAACAACAAAACAAAAACCCTAAATGGGAAGAAAAGAAAAGCCTACAACTCCCGCCCCAGCCCAGGGTGAACTGTCAATTCCGAAAGGGCTTTTGATCTCCAGGCGCGGGCAGGCCGCTCCTCCCCAGCGCTGCCTCCCGGCACCGGCGGCGGAAGGGCGGGAAGCGGGAGCAGAGGCCCTGAGGCGGACGAGAGTCTAAAGCTCCAGGACCGCCAAAAATCAAACCGCCGAGTAGGGACCGGGACCCACAGGCTGCAGGGAGGAGGTGGCACGGGGGAGCGCGCAGACCACTTGGTGTGGGGGCCGCCCGGGAATCCTCAGCCACGTTTCCGATTGTGGCGAAATCTGCTCGGTGGATTCGTGATGTCCGGTTCCCACTAACCCCCTCCCCCCATCCTCGAACTCTAGGCTCTTCCCCCTAGGTTGCAGCCTAGCCTCGTGACCACCCCCTCCAAAAAAAAAAAAAAAAAAAAAAATCAAACAAACACTCTCTGAGGACGCGATTCACTTTCCGAAACTGCCATTGTCCAGCGGGCCAGGAGTGCTCCCCCGCCCTGAGAACCTTCCCCTGCGACCACCCCGCGGCGGGGCTCCATAGGCTTCCAGTGGCCAAGAGAGCAGCTTAGATTCCAGACTGGGGAGGGGACAGTAGGGGAGGCTTGAGCTTGGGCCGCTGGGAGCAGGGTTGTATGCGCCACACCTTTGCCTAGACTCTTCGCTTCTGATTTCACCTCTGGAATCAAGTCTGGGACTCGGGATACCACAAGGTCTCCTGGCCTGAGGGCAGTGGGATTTCATTTAGGGGCCTGGGTAAGGTGTTCAGAATTTTCGCTTGTTTCTGAACCTACTGAGATGGTTCTGCTTGGCCGGGGTGTTCCAAAGCAGAGGTCCGGGTTTTATCAGCAGCCTTTCTGTTGAACCTCTTGGGCTCTGGGCAGAAAGGGACGGTGCTCTGTAGAGATCTGGGATCTAGAAGCTGAGTGGAACCTGGGGATTGTAGGGATCTGAAGTTGCCCTGGAAGTAGAGCCCAACAGACCTACGGAGGTTGCAAATGGGTTGGGGGTGGGGTAGTTGGGAACCTGAGGGCGGGCGCCGCCCTAGGGGTGAATCTGAGGATGCTAGAACGTCCCCTGTGGCTGACTATTGTGCTAGCACAGGGTTCAAAATCACCTGCTTGGCAGAATTGTTCTTTCTTTAAAATAAAAAATCGGGCCTACTGGCACCCACTAAACAAGGTTTGCGTGTAGGGCGAAAGCGCACAGGGCCGCGACCCCCAGACGCAGGTCTGGAAGCAGGTGCGACCGGGTGGCCCGGGTTCAGCCTCAGTCTGCTCCTTCCCCTAGGCGCGCGACTAACGCGGGGCGCAGTCTGAATCCTTCCTTCCCTCCCCCCCAACCCCCTATAAAAGTCCAAGGCGGCACCGAGGCGGCACTGCTGTTCTCCGGGCCTCTCGCACGCCTTCGGCCCGGTCCGCCCCGTCTGGCACGCTGGGCAGGCCGCAAAGTCAACACCCTTTCCCGGCTCCTGGCCCGCGGTGCGGGGCGGTGCGCTGGGGGCGCGGTGTGTCTGGGGACATCTTGTGATGTTGGCGAGAACAGGACATGATCTCACATGGCGAGAAGCTCTTTAGTTCCTTAATCATTTCACGGTGCCTTCGGACGCTTTTTTTCCACCTAAAACGTTTAGTTTCAGCTCAGTGATCAGCTACCCCAGCTCGGCGGGGGAGCGGAAGGCTTGAATTATTCCGACTTGTGAGCGGCCCGGCACCAAAAAAAAAAAAAAAAAGAAAAGAAAAGAAAAAAGAAAAAGAAAAAGAAAGAAGGAAAAAGAAAGAAAGAAAGAAAAATAAAAGGAAAAAAGAAAGGAAGGGGGGAAAGGGGCACAAAAAAGTGGAAACTTTCCCCCCTGTCCATTTCATCAAGTCCTGAAATATCAAAATGGATTTAGAGAAAAATTACCCGACTCCTCGGACCATCAGGACAGGTAGGACCACCGTGAAACGGGCATCAGCTGTGCTAACTCTGGGGCACATTCTCCGGCGCGCTAGTGCCCACGTAAAGGACAGGGAGTTTCCTCAGGGAAGAAAGGCCTGTCCGTGGACATCCATTTGCAGTGTTTTCACTCGTCTGTCCAGGTGTCTTCAAGGAAAACTGTTTTCTTTGGGGTTTATTTGTTTCTGTTTCTGATGCTTGTGTTGGTGTTAATCTGGAGGCGTGCAAGTTTGGGTGTGGGTGTTTGCCCAGTGAGTGCAGGAGTGCGAATGAGTTTGTGTGCCCCTAATTAAGTGTTTTGTTTGAGTTTGTGTGCCTGTTTGTATCTTCACAAGCTTGTATCATGCCTTGGGTGTATTAGTGTGTGCGTGCGTGTTTTTTTGAAGCCTCCAAAACCAGTGTCTGTGTAAGTATTTCATATATAATTTTGATAAACATCTCACTCACGGTGCATCTACTATTTTGAGGGTCTGTTCACCTCTCATAACCGAAGTGACTTTGGAAGTAAGAAGTGGTGACTCTGATCCCGTTATTTTTGATGTCAACAGCTGTCCAATGTGTACATGCCAATACACACCGAAGTGCTTGTCTCCAGGCACACATGGCTCTGGGGCCTACTAGGGGTACAGTGCACAAACCATGTGCTGCCAGACCTAGGTCTTATTTTATTGAGAGATAGAATCAAAAGGGTGATGTGAATTCATGGCAATTAGGCCCTCACTGTGCACTGTGCACTGTTTCATTCTTGGGCTACTATATTGAATGTAGCATTTATATACAAGGGTCTCTCCTATGGCAGGCCCAACTTTGGTGGGTGAGAACAGTTTGTGGGCTACTGATGACTTTTGACATTCACTCCCCACACTCACCCCAAATCACTTGCCTTTAAGCTTTCACCTAGACTAGCCTGGCATTGTATGTGTCTATGTGTCACACTGTATGCTCAGGACTATGTCCTGTGGGTACTGCTCCAATGGAGGAGAGTTCAAGGGGGTGTATATATGTGCCTAACCTGGTTATTTAGCTGGGGTGACTGTATGTTCATAGGTCTTCTTGGCACAATGCCCCGGTGTCTCCCAGAGGCCCAGGCACTGGGTAGCAGGGTGTGCCTATGTCTGAGTAGATATGGCAGAGCAGTAGGCCTCTATCTACCCTAAGGCATAACCTGGTATGACATCCCCCTTTTCTCATTAGGCCCTTGTGCCAATGTGTACACAAATGCTCTGAACTATGGCAAGAAACCCACTCCTCTCCTTGCTGGGTCATCTGTGAGACCTCCAATTCTACTCCAGCTTTTGATAAAAAGTCAAAGAGTAGGGAGGAGAAAACTTGGACACCAACCTAGGATGACTTTCTGGCACAATTGTGGGTTCAGGAAAACCACAATAGATGAGAGTGGGGACAGGAGCCAGAACATTGTTGTGATGAGTACAGATGCAGAAACCTGGAACGCCATCCCCTTTCCATTCTTAATTCCAAGACAAGCTTCCCTTCTCCAAGTGGTGGGATACCCAAAGGTACCTCTGCCTGGGTTGTTTATTGTTGGAAATGGGTTGGATGCATGTGAGTCTAGAGGGGACTGAGTGGCTGCCTCTCCCGACAAGCTGTCTACCACGAAGAATGTAATTCATGGCGGTCGATGGGCTCTTTGATTAGTTCAATCGCCTGAATAATCATTTAATCAATAAAGCATTTCACTCTTCTGTGCGGTTAGACTGGGTGGGGTTTGTGTAGGGGGAATTCTAGGGGGGTTTGGAGCTTCAAATCCTAAGAGCCACACCCCTTACTGATGGGTTAGGGTGAAGGCCACCTGCTTGGGAAGGGTTAGCAGCTCAGGTGAGAGCAGCCTTCTGCCGGTCTTCCAAGTCCTGAGGCCCAGCCTAGGGAAGAGGAGGGAGAGGACTGAGGGGGCTGTCCAGGTACTCAAACGCTACCTTGGTCTACTTTCTGCCCTCAACTTCTAAGCCTTTCATGGACCACCAAACTGTTCTTTCCTTCCTCCAGAATTATACAGTATTCTTTCTCCAAACCCAGCTTCTTCATCTGTAGTGTCTTTATAGCTCAAGGCCCAATATTAAGCAAGGCCAGCACACAGCAGAGTACCACTTAGGCAGTTTCTCCCTTCCTGGGAAAAGCGGAGATACAGAGGACAGGAACTGAGGATGCACATCAAACAGGACTAGATGTAGAAGTAGGGAGAATAGCACTTCCAGTGAATGGGACAGCATCTCCAAAGGCTCCAGGAGACATTCCAGAGGTTCGTCTCTGTGTTCCAGGCACAAGAAGCTGAGGTCTTGGGAGAAAGGACAGATAAGTCTTAAGTCTTGGGGGAGAGACTTTGTCCTGGTGCTCCAGATCTGCAAGGGCAGGCTGGTTGGGGTACCAAGCCCCAGCACAGGAGATCTGCACTTCTTGAAAGACTTGGTTTAATGCTCTCCTTCCCAGGGATTCCTGCAACATAACCCAAGCCAAGTAGGGCAGATTCTTGATCCACTTTCAGGAACCAGGCAGGCATCTCTATGCCCCGTTTGCTGCTGAAAAGCAACAGACCAGTTGCTTTTCCTCTTTGATACTTTTTCAAATTAAAGGTTAAAAAGAACCCATCAGGTTAGAACGGCAGTGCCCAGGCATCTCCGATCCTTCCCAACTGAGCAACCAGTCTGAATCTTGAAAGACCTTGCTTTATTGAAAGACAGAGCAGGCAAATGGGCTGGAATTGGACTGCAAGAGTGTATCTCAGGCCAGAACTCCAGGGCAGCACCAGCATGCTGAGAGCCTAGCTCTTCTGTAAGCTGGAGGGAATGTTGGGGAGCTGGGGAAGAGGAAGTGGGAATGGGGTGGCGGTGGTGTGTGCCCCATCAAGTAAAGTCTCCCAAGTGCAGAGAGAGATAGATGGATGTCCCCTCTCCAAAGGTGTTCTGGCTTCTGAAACATTCTCAAAATGGCCACTCTTCCAACAGGCAAACCTTTCCACAGCAATTCAATTGAAATAAGTTGTGCATTTTTGTTTGTTTTGGTTTGTGCCACCCACCCCCCCATGGTGGTTTTGTTTCACAGGTCTGCGCCCTCTGTCTATCTCTCTGCTAGTCCTTCCTGGACCCAGGCTGCAGATGAAGGCAAGAGTGAGGCATGGAAGCACAGCTCTGTTAAGGAATAGCTGTGTGATCTCAGAGTGGTCATTTAACCTCTCTGTGCCACTGCTTGGCAGCTTGTAAGGATGGACTGGGTGGTCATATCAGGACTCTTCACTTCTTTGGGGATTTGAAGTTCTCAGAGCTCAGGCACTCCAGGAGTGACAAGAAAAATCACTCAGAAGGAAATTTCCTCTGGCCCAGGATCACTAAGTCTAGGGAGGGGCTACCTTCCTCCATTGATTAGGCTGAGTCCCACAGAGGAGAACATATCCAAAGCTGCACAACACCAACTGTGTGAAAGGGGGAATCCGGGCTGTTCCTCTTGGAATGGCATCTGCAGTTTTACCTTGCCCTAGGGATTCTGTCCAAACAATACAGGACAAGTGGCTCCTTCAGACGTCATCCAGATGAATTATTTGGTTTGACGTCACCTTCCCTTCCAGCCTCCAGTCATCCTTCTATTCCAGACTTGCTCCACTATAACCTCAGACAAATTATATCCTGCCTCCTACCCTCAGGCTCCACATCTGTAAAATGGGGAAAACATTGCCCCAGAACCCTTTTAGTTTTAAGATCCTAGATCTGGGTTTGGAAGCTCAAGGAGCATGATGAGAACCATGAGGTACCCTTGACTGCTTCTCTATAGCAGCCCCAAATCTTGAACTTGCTAGTGGGAATTAAGAGTCCCATAACTGTCTTGAAACCGAATTCTTGTGGAATTATAGGATAAAGCCAATGGAACCCTATGCCATCACAGCCATTTTCTTCTTGTAAACTTCCTGCCCTAAGACAGAGGTGATGTGTGTGGGGGGGAAGAGATCAGGACTGGGAGAGGTTCCAGACAATGGAGAGAGAAAGCTACCACCCCACCACCTTGTATACCACAACCTTCTGAGTCCCCAGAGACTGATCTTTCTTGACCGTTTTCCTGCAGCTGTGCCCTAGTGGGGGTGGGGATGGTGTCAGCCAGGGGAAACTTGCCTACTTGTCCCGGGCAGCTGCGATCAAGACAGCTATAGAGGGTGGACCCAAGGATTGACCTAGTATAGAAATGTTAGAAGTGGGACAAGGGGGAAAAAGTGGAAACTGAGGAAAAATTCAGGCAGAAAGTGAATAGAGAAAATGGACTGAGGGTCCCCTAGAAATCTGCCTGAGTTCTGTCCCCTCTGAACTATCACAGAAGCAGACATCTCAGTGTCCTTGTTCTGATGGATTTATGTTTTATATCAGAGGATCATCACTTATGATTCAAAGGGTTGAGTGTTTAGTTTACTACCACAACTACTGGGGCAGTGGGATGCTCAGTGTGTGGGCAGTGGTCGGGTTGGATCTTAGCACACTAGAGGGGTCACAGAACTATAGCTGCTTGGGTGAAGACACTTCATTTTTTTAAAAAGTCCAGCTGCTGACTGCGGTCTGAGAGCTTTACACTCCCGGGAAACTGAGACAGTCTGGTTAAAGAACTTTGCTGGATCAGGAGAATTCCACTAGAAGTCTGTCCATTTTGTCCTAAAATCTACAGGTACTGTGGTGAGGGAAGGTCAGCTTTTCCTGACAGCTGGGAACTGCAGCGTTTGTAGCCATCTTGGTGCCACGCCACAGGCTCTTTTAAATAGAGGCAACCGCACAGCCGCTGGCTTCAGGTGCTCTCATTAGCTCTGGATGCCAGCGGACGCCTTCCGTTTTAAAGGAGGCCTTGCACCAGATGCGGAAATCCTCTTGTTGACAGAAGCTTTGAGCTAAGAGTATCACCAGCTCCCAAGGGACCTATCAGCTCCTAGGCTGAGAATTGCAAAACGGATCTATGGCTCTGTTGCTTGAGACAATCTGGTCCAAGCTTTAGAGACTCCTCAATTTCTGATAACCTTAAAGTAATATTCCCCCAACTCTGCCTTTGGTTAATGCAGCACTGGGGCCTCTGTGGATAGAATGAGAAGGGAGGATACAGAGGAGACGGCCATCGCTTAGTAGATTCTTGCTAAAATTAGGGACTGTTTCCATTGGAAGGAACCAGCATCAAAGATCCCTTCCCTAAACTCTGCCCATTCTACAGAGGTGCAAAGTGAGTCTGAAGCGACAGGCATACACTCGTAAATGAGCCACCTAGACTGAAAGCCGAATCTCCACGACACTGCACTTCTTCCTCCAACATCTGTGGGTGTTTTTCTTTCTTTTTTCCTTCTGGAGACTTCGCTCCCAGTCCTCACCCTGTCTTGGTTGCCCTCAGTCTCTAAGCGCATCCCAGAATCCCAACGGCCGGCAGAAAGTTTGGCTCTGTGGGACCAAGAGCCGGGCTCTCCAGACACTGCGTGGGCCCTGTTCTCTCTCTCCCCCTTTTCCTTCCGCGATCCACTAGGCCTTCTCCCCACGCGTTTGTCAATGAACGTGGCGCCGCCGCTTGGGCCCCGCCCCCCATTCTCTCCCATTGCCCAGGTACCGGCTAATCAGGCGGAGCCCGTGGGTTGCTTAGCCAATAGGACAGTATTTCGGGCTAGGGCCGGATGTGCCCGTTCTGATTGGCTTGATGAGGCGTGATTGGCAGGTGAGCTCCCGCCCCGCCCCCGCCCGGAGGGAGGCTGAGCCCCGGGCGGCGCTGTCCACACGCAGCGGGTCCTGAAAGCGGCTCCGGGGCGGCGCGGTGGCGCACTGTGCGCGCCGAGCAGGCGGAGGGCTAGCGCCGGCGGCGGCGGCAGCAGCGCGGGCATTAGAGCCGGCAGGGGCTTCATCTCAGCACCGACAGCCCTGGCGGCCCCAGCAGCCCCGGCGGCAGGGACCTGCATCCTCTCCTGCGCCCCTCGCTCACCGCTGGGCAGACGCGGCGGCTGTCCCGGAAGAGGCAAGCCGGGGACAGTCCCACCCGGACCCCCCGAGAGCGGGCAGCGGATCTCCAAGAGTTGGTAGCGTGAGGCACAGCCAGGAGCGAAGGGGCCCGGAGCCTCGAGGCCCGCGGGAAGTTTAAGGGCGGCGGGTCCCGGTCTTCGAGGGCTGCAGTTCCGGGGCGCTCCGGGCTCCCAGCCTCAGCAGCTGTAGCGTCTCAGAATCCACCGCGGTCCCTGCGCGGCGGGAGAAGGAGTTCTCGGCAACTTCGTTGGAGACGTCGGAGAGCCGGCGGGAGAAAGGTGGAGGGGCACGTCCAGCGCCAGAGACACCGAGCAGCGGGAGACAGGAAGGATCTGGCGGAGGCCGAGGGGTGGACAGACCCTCGTAGCAGCAAGACCGAAACAGCCTGGCAGCCCGCGGGCCTCGCTGCCCCCAGAGTGAGACGAAGGGCCGTGTGCTCGCAGCCTCTTGCAAGCTTCTGCTCCGGCGCCGAGCGCCCCTAGTTATCCCGGAGGTGGGCCCCTGCGCTATGCCCTCGACGCTGCGGGCGCCTGGGCCTCAGCTTCTCGGGTGTGGGCCGGGAGCCGCCGCTTGAGCCCGCCGAGGAGCAAAGGCAGCTGGAGTTGGGCGCCCGCTCCCAGACCGACTGGCTGAACACTGTTTCCCGCCTCTCGGCTCAGCTCTCCGTGATCTTCCGCAGGAGGCTTGGAGAGGGACCCCACGGCCGCAGAGGTGTTTTCTGAGCCCAGCTCACACGGTGCCTGGCCTGGTGGCGCGGCTCCCTAGGCTCTGTGAGCAGCCCTTTGGCGCCGAGAGGCAGCGGCGCGGGCCGACCTGCAGTCTGGAGCGCCCCGATGGAAATACACTGTAAGCACGACCCGTTTGCATCCATGCATAGTAAGTAGGCGGCGAGCTCGCTTCTCTCACTCTCCGGCCGGGGTCGGGTTGGGGGTGCCGGACTACGGGGCAGGTACTAAGTTCTGGAGAGCTCGGGACCTCTGTAGCTGCGTAGACAACTTTGCAAAGTGCAGGGCTTTCCAGGCAGCAGACGCGGAGTGCATTTAGCCGCTAAGGCCGAAGCGCCTGGTCGGTAAATCCCGCCTCCAGCAACGAGGTAGTAGTGTAGGCAGCGAGCTGCAGCCTTTCCGGGTCTCCAACAGCTAATTCTCAGAACCCTGGTTCATACTCATAGACGGCTCGAAAATGGGCCAGTTGGAAGGCAGGAAGTTTTAACAGAGGTCGGTGAGAGTCTCAGACAGCGCCCCAAACCCCAACTCTGTTGGTGCCCCTTTCAGCCATGGGACTGACCAAGATTGATGCTTAGAATGAAAAGTGGGACCCCGACCAGTCCCTGTATGTGTGAAGAAAAGACGTGAGAGTTAAGAAAGTACACCTGGTCCAGGGTTCCAAATGCGTCCTGGGTCGAGGAGAGGGGATTTAAAAAAATCAACGAAGTCCGGGTCCCTAAGCTACACTTGAGTTCAGGCATCGGCCAGTACAGAGAGAGACCTTTAAAGACACCATTGGGTCATTCTCTGTAGGGTGCCTGCCTTGAGGTGGCTTCTCTCCTAGAAAGAAAAAGAGAGAGAGAGAGAGAAAGAAAGAAAGAAAGAAAGAAAGAAAGAAAGAAAGAAAGAAAGAAAGCTAATTAGTCACATGCAGGCGCGCCTGCCTTCTGAAAGCCTGTGCGGCGTAGGAGACCGGCAGGGTCATTTCGGGCACCGGCAGGGCCCTGCTGCCTGACCCGCAGGGATTCTGCCAGTTCACCCATTAACACAGCCTCCTGTGAGATGAGCGCTCTTCTCACGGTGAGTTAACGCTGGATTAGATTCGGAGATTTCAAGGAAATTCCAAGTGGAACGAATCGCGTTTCCCTTCTGTTGGCTGTAGAATCGGCCAGGGGAAGGCGCCAGGCTTTGGCAGACTGCACTCGGGTGCCCAGCTCGGGTCTCTGTGGACTGCATATCGCCGAATAACTCCGTGGCTGGCAGTCCGCTCCAAGCTCGCTTAACCTCAACCAGCCGGGATCCCGCTACTCTAGCCGTGGGTCCCCTATTTAACAAAGGCAGCAAGCAGACACCCCGCTAGAGAGAAGGCAAGCTGGGGCAAGAATCTTCGTGTCTTCCACGAAGGGCCCAGTGGCCTGGCGGCAGGGGAAGATTTGTTTAGGCAGCGGAAGCGGGCTGCGAGCAGGTCAGCTTCTCTTTGTGTCAACATCCCAGTCGGAGGTAATCCTCCCAGGCGGCAAAAAGATTCGCACAGTGAAGCGGCTTGCTCTGGTCCCAGCCCCAACGATTCCTCCCCATTTGGGGACTGGGTTTAAGCGGCTTCCAGTCCACCTCGGCTCCAGCGTTTTCCACAGCATTTTCCTGCACAAACTGGCTCTGGAGCCTCTCTGCTCTTACTCAGAGAGAACCTGAAAACAAACGAGTTGGGGGCAACACTCTGAGAGGTGGGCAAGCGTTGGCTCAGCCAACAAGCAACTGGGAGACAAGCTGGGTAGGGCTGGCTCCCGTGCTTCCTTCCTTACTGGCGGAAATCCAAAGGCCCGCACTGCCTCTCTCTGTCCAGAGTTCTGCTGCCCAGAGGTCATGCCCAAGCCCTTGGGGAGACAGCATCAGACTTGGTGGTCTTCCGGTGCGCATCCGTGTGGAGAAGCAGCTCCTTCCAGGTGCTGGTTAACCAACTGCTAATGTCTAAGCCTTGCTGCCGGGCCTTCAATCTGCCCCCTCCTCGGGAAGTGCTCCCTCCTCCCATTCTCAATCTCCCTGGCAGCACAGTGGGGGCTGGGCCAGCCTAGCTTCCAGAGCTAGTGGAAGCCCTTGGCTTCTCCAGAAAGACCCTTCGCTCTCCCGCCCAAAGCTGCTGGCTTGCACAATGTAGTCTGTCTCTGGGTCCCAATTTGCTGGTGATGGGGGCAGAGAAAACAGGCTGGCAAGGTGACTGGGTCTTTCCCTTCATCTTTATTTCCGGCTTGGGTCAGTTTTTCCTTGTGGCCTCTCTTCTTCCCCCACCCCACCCCCAACCAATTCTGCACCGGACAGCTTCAGTTGGCAGGGACAGGCACTGCTGTATCGTGGTCTTTCTGAGTCCAGAGGTACCCCACACCCTACTCTACTTCCACCAAGCACACTGGTACAATGACTCTCTGCTAGATGCTTCCTTCCCCCGAGCATTTTACCAGTTAGTTACAAAGTACTTCTGTGGCCAGTGTCACACCTGAGTGTGACCCAAACCTCAGTTACCTCCATTTTACAGAATATGATACTGAGGCTAGAGAGATAGAAGGACTGACAGAAATCAGCTGTCACTGGTCTTGGGAATAGAGGCATACTGTTAGGCTTTGGAGAATTAATGGAGAGGGGTAAGAGAAGGGTTTATTCCAGAGAGGCCAGTGGACTGTCGGAGTGTATACACACGCAAGGCTCTACCTCTGTGTAGTCCAACTACGTCTGTATTCGCAGCATGACTGTTAGGTGTGTCAGCACCTGGCTGTCCACTCTCTGTGATCCTGTTTGCATGTCTATGTGTGCCCCTTCCTTTTGCTCTGGTGCATTTAGGAAGAATTTCAATGATCCAGGCTCTTGTAGTTCAACCTTCAGCTAGCAGCAGACATCTCCTTAATTATCTGTGTCTAGCCATAGTTTTGGGGTGTGGGCAGTGCCCTTTGTGGGCAATATGTCCCTAACAAGGTCTGAGGAGTGTCTGCAGAAGTCAGTTCCTTCCAGAGTGGAGACACAAAGGTCCTAGGGTCACCCACAATTCCATCAGACTTCCAGCCCTGCTCTTCCAGATGGAGCCATTCTACTTTTGCTGTATCTGTGTTTGTTCTCCAGTTTTTATCTAATTTGTTTGCTTCCGTCTCTGTGCCATTTTCTAAATTCTGCACCCCTTAGGAATGATAGGGAGTTCATGTCTCAGCCCAGTGCCCTTCTGGCAGAGGAGCCCTCACCTAGCTGGAATCCACAGTAGAAGTTGGGACTTGAGTCTTGTAGGAGATGCAAAGCTGGAGCAGGACCTGAGAGGGAGGGAGGGAGACGAAACAGATCCCCACCCACAGACATCTGTCTTCTAGAGGTCCCTTCCATTTGTCAGTCTATTTAGACTTTTCCACGCCTTCCTCCTCCTCTGCCTGCCTAAGACTCTGTGTCCTATCTAGCCCTCCCTTTGCTATCTGTCACATTCCGCCCTTCCTCTCTATGGTATAGAGAGTATAGAGAGTCAACAACGTCGATATCCTTTGCACATAGCTCTCCTTCCCTGTCTCACTTCCCCTCTCCTTCAGACTTTGGACTTCCCTTCTTATCAGTCCCAGATTAGTTCCTTTCCTGAGGCCTGTGATAAGTGCTCTGTTGGGTAGATTCATAAATGAGACAAGAGGACCAAGGGATCTGGGGGCCTGTCCAGAAAGTTAAGAAAAGTAAGAGTCACCTGCGTGAAGTTTGTGTCAGCTGTGGACACTTGCCTTAGATTCTGCAAATTCCTTAGTATCTTAGCCTTGTGGTCAAAGGGAGGTAGTCTGGGGGGATCTGCTGTGATTTAGGGAGACCCGACTCTAGGAGACTCTTGGCATTTTTTTTTCCGATGGTACAAACCTATGAATTCCCTTACAGAATTGCTCTTGGCATCCTCTGAAGGTTGCCACTGTGTTTTGGGCCGGAAGTCTCCATTGTTAGTGGTATAGCAAACAATAATTGCAGGTTGGCTACATTAGATCATATCAAAAGTGTGCTGGGTCTTTTCCCTGCCCTTTCTGGACATTTGTCCTCCCAATCAGCACACACCAATTTTGGATATACTTTGTTTTACTTAAATCCAGCCTGTTCTGGGAAAATTGGTTCAACTCTTTTTTTTTTTTCCCCCCTTGGATGATCTCTGTCCTAGAACAAAGCTCTTGATCAGGGTTACTGTAATCTTTCTGTTTTAGGGAAACTATGCAATTATGTCCCTAGCTGTAAAACTCTGTTCAGGAAAATTTTCTCTCTGTTTTTTTCTGCTCCTGTGTGCAATGTTTCAGAACAATCAAAATTCCTTAGAGGCACATTTTGAAAATCAGAGGAAATTTCAGCATAGTTTGGGACTAAGTAATGTAATTACCTAAAAAATTACGGTTTTCTTGGACATAACCTGAACCTGGAGATTTTGGGAAGTAATTTGTGAATTTGTTAGATACTTTTAAGGATAAAAGCTGTTTTTAGGAGTGTTTTATCCCTCAATTTCAGATGTTGTCCATGGGCCTGGTTGTAGATAAGTCTTGGACTAGGATGGGGTGGTGGTGGCCGAGCTGTGGTGGCTATGTTTCTGTTTTAAAGTTGGGGGGTGTGACCTTGGAGGTGCCTTGACTTCCCTTCTGGAGCCCAGTCTGTCCTAGGATAGGAGGTTTCCCCTCCTGGGCCTCTGAGCTGTCAGCCCCGTCATTACATTCTCTTACTTGACTTTAGCTCCAATCCTCAGCAAGGCCAGTTAGCGACTGCTTGGCAGCTATAGGGCCAATGGTGTTGCTACATTGTATCAGTCTGTTTACTGGCCTGGCTCTTTAGTTTACTCAGGTCCTATTTCCCTTCAGCTGGGCGGTGATTACCATTACCGACTATCAGAGCGGAAGGGGCACTTTCTCTGACTCCTTTTACTTAAAATACATGTCATGGCACTCGTAAAAATCTGGGACTCGGGAGTTTTCTTATTTCCTCCTAACCAACTTAAACCTGTTTGCGGATTGTAAAACATGCCCAAAATTTCAGGGACACACCTAACAAATCCTGATTCAGTGGAGTGTGCTGTGTGCAGAAGACCCTGTGACCCATTTCTTTTGTGTGCTCTGAGAGGGTACAATGGTCAAGCCTGCACATCAACCTCATCGTCTTAAAGGAAGGCTTTAATTTTTTTTTTCTATTTTTAAATTACGGCAGCGGTTAGGTTTTGTCTCAGTGATCTGAAAATGCTGGTCATTAAAAAGAAAGTCTTTAATTCTTTGAATTAGATTGCTGATTTAAAAAACACTTTCCCCCTTGAGATGTAGATATTAGAAGAACCCGTTTCACTTTTGAAGACATTTGTTAAAAGAAAACGAATTCCACTAATTTTCTCCCTCCTTAAATTTGATTATTTTATGACATAATTTTCTCCCCAGGATCTTCCTCAAACTCAGCATTGTGTAGTAAATTGTGCTCCTTTCATATAGATTTCTTTTACACATTCCCTTACCGATTCCCCCAAATGAAGAGGAAAAGGCTAGCAACTAAAAGAAAAACAGTGTGGGGAGCTATCAGTGGCTCAGTGGATGGCCTGCAGATGGACAAAAGCTAAGACTGGTGTTAGAAAGCAACCCAGGGTCCTCATGTCATCTGCATGATTGGACTCCAGGTGCAAGACATCTAGCCTGCCAGCCATTTGTAACCAGAGGGGCTCTGGGTGCTCACAAGGGCACTTGTACTATGTAACTGGTTCTAACCACCCTTCCCCTTGCCTTTTGTTTCTGATCTGTTTCAGGACATGGAGGAGTGAATCAGCTTGGGGGGGTTTTTGTGAATGGACGGCCACTCCCAGATGTAGTCCGCCAAAGGATAGTGGAACTTGCCCATCAAGGTGTCAGGCCCTGCGACATCTCCAGGCAGCTTCGGGTCAGCCATGGTTGTGTCAGCAAAATTCTTGGCAGGTAAAGGCATGGGCTCCAGGCTTCCCTCAATGTTTTAAAGGAAGATCTAAAAGACAGCCCACAGCTGTCCAAGGTGCCAGTGTCACAGGGAAACCTACGGCAGCCTTTTGCTCCACACACTCCGCACTTGAGAGATTGCCAAGTGTTTTGAGACTGTCCTATTCAAAGTGGCTGTGGACCCCCGTTTCCAGTGACACGTGGAGCAGGGCGACTTTGTCAGGAGGAACAGTGTGTTTCTCGAAAGTCTGGTGAATTATTTTAAAGAACTCGAAAGTCAAAGGCTCTTGGGAATTGTCCCCAAACCTCTTAGGTGAGCTTGGGGTCAAGAGAATGGCTGGTGGTGGTGGTGGGGGACCCAGAGATTATTATATTTCTTCTTATTTTTCTTTTTCTCTTTTGGTGCAGGGCTGTGTACGTGTTAAGTGATTGTCCACCACTGAGCTATGTTACCAGCCCTCAGTGTTTTCTTTGAGGTGTTTTCAAATAGCACTTGGTATTTAAAAGGCAGTCGTCATCTTCGGTGGTACCATCAGCCTGCCCATGCTGGCTGTAGTGTTTCCTTCTGGGTGTTTTGTTTCTTTTGTAGTGACAGGCATCGTAAGCACACGTTAAATTAGAGGGAGGAAAACAAAGCAGCGGCGAACACTAACTCTCAAACCTGACGTTTCAAAGTTGCCACTTGACCCAGCAATTTGCTGCAAGCAAAATACCCACAATGACAGTCCTCGCCAAGGGCTGTGCAGACTGGTAGCCTCACGTTTATTTTTTTCACCAGCCTCAGCACGATCCAGGGAAGGTTTTAAGATGAGGAAATAAGCCTTTCTAGAGCTAACTGACTGGCATAGGCAGGTCTGGCCAAGTCATCACTTGGCCTGGACTGGGTCCTAAATGACTCTGGGACCCTGTCTCTCTCCATAACCCCAAAACATATTGATATATATTTTTTAATGTCCTGGGCATGTGACATTGTTCTAGGTCTTCCCTGGCAGACAGGAACATTCTCAGGCTTAGCTCTTCAGGGCTTTCTTACTATTTCTTTTCCTGAGGTCAGCGGTCCTCGTCTTTGTCCTGTAGATTGCCTTATGGTTTAACAACTGATACCTGACTGACAGTCGTGAACATTTTGAAGTATTTTTGAAGTTTTCTCAGTGACATCGTGACTTTCTGCTCTCCTTGTTCCATCTGCTGGAATTTAAAAATTCTCCCAACAGTGTGTAATAACCATGTAGGGGATCTTGATTAAGACCAAAGGAAGGCATCTCAGGGATGGGAATCTGGCAGTTCCATTAGGGCCACCTATGCCTGTGTTTACTCTTCATCTTCCTGCCTAGCGTGGGTCACATCAGCTGTGGAGGACGAGGGCTCAATCCACTTCTGTTTAACACTCAGCCAGCAAATGGGTTCCAGCCGGAGTTCAGAAGGAGCACAGGAAATCAGCCTGGTGGCCATGTTAGACGGTGGGTCAGGAAAACTGAGAGTGAGGACAACAAAAGGAAGTGGCCTTCGGGGAGAGACAGGACGAAGAGAGAAGACAAAGGGGGAGCAGAATGGTTGTTTTTCAAAGACAGAATAGAAAGTGTACAAGAAAAGAGGGTGAGAGGAAGCCGCTTCAGAGGAGCCGGTCTCACTTTGGGGGCTGAATGGTCGTCACCGTCTTCCTGTGATGCTTCTTTGTAAGCGGGGGAGAGGGAAGGGGAGGCCCTTCCTTTGTTTTTACTGAGACATCTTCGCTGAGCTGACGTTTTGTTCGCTGTTTGAAAATTTCAAGATGCTGAGAGCCTTTCTCAGACATCCAAATGACTGACTCTCGTGTTCTAGAGCCCCAGAGCCCTTTACCTCTCCCATGAAGATTGAGGTGGACAGGGATCCTTCTAAAGTCAGGCCAGCAGACTCCCGTGGACCAGAATAGATTTGTCACTGGGCAGAGTGGCACTCGGAAGTTATGCGCCGCTCCGGTGCCTGGCCGTTTAAGTTGTCAACAATAAATTGGAATTTCATAGCTCATTATTTTCATAACTAAGAACCACAGTGGACAAAATGTCACTCTAATTAGAACTGCTTTTTAAGAAACAAGTTCAGCCCTAAAACGGTGTGACTGGGAATTTCTGAACTCAGCCTATTTGACCCACAGACTGCCCCCCACCCCCTAGAAGAATTTGATGGGTGCTCACTGGGTGACAGCTTGTAGAGTGCTTGGTGTGTGGTGGCTACAGTTTTCAAAGGCTGTGTAGCAAGGCAGGCAAAGTCCTTGGGAACAGGCAAGGATCCCTGTCCCTCCAAGAAGCTATGTGGGCTGACAGCAGTGTGGACATCCGGTCTAGAATTCAAGGCTGTAGAGGAACTGAGCATCACAGGAAGGCCAAGTCAGATCACAGAGCAGGGCTGGCGTCTCCTCTCATTGGGAATGCCAGGTCATTTGAAATTTTGGTGGCATATCACAAGATAAAAATAAAACGGTGGGGATTTTAATCCCCAACTGCGCACTCTACTTTATGCAAATTCTCTTTAATTTTTTTGTAAAATCTTTTCACGGTCATTCTGTATTCCTGTTGTTATAACATCTCTGCAAAGGAAGCATGGCAAATATCCTCCCCTATTACAGAAATGGGGTAACTGAGGGCGAGGAAGGCTGTGTGGTCAAGATCACACAGCCACTTGGTGTCAGAGCCGCGGCAGGCATGGCACCTCTTGACTCCCAGCCTAACGCTCTTTGCTTTCTTTGCACTGAGGGGCACCGGGCTGGTGGCTGCCGTTCATCTTTTGTCTGTGAGCCAAAGGGCTGCACGGCTGTTTTGCTGAGATGAAAGGGTGGTTATTAAGTCTGAATCCTCACTTGACACAGTCTTGAGTTGGGGTTTCGGGAGTGTCTGTGTTGCCTTCTAAGAGCCTGGCCCACGAGTCAGTCAAATGCAAGACAGAGACCTGGAATGTCCAGACTTCGGAATCCCACAGTTGGCACTGCTCAAGTAGGGTGGGCAGGGAGCCCTGGGCTGCCACATACCAGCCATGTAAGCAGGGGGCTTTATTCTGCTGCCTGGTGACTGTCTGTGTGGTCACTGTCATTCCGTTAGAGTCATGTATTTTAAGAACACATTGCGATCTGCATATCTGTAAGCCCTATCTCGAGACTATCCTTGCCCTAAGAGGACCCAGCAGCTGTTGGTTCATGGAATGAGTGACAGATGCTTGAGAAAAGGCCTTGCAAACAGTAAAGCTCTCTACAATTGTAAGAACTGCAACTACTAACACTTAAAATGTTATAATCAAAGCAGAAACTTGTAGTGATGAGAAAAGCACTGGATTCAAAGTCTTCTTTGAAATCTGGGCTGTTCCTGTAACCAGAGGAGTTGGGCAAGTGCCTTAGTCCTCCAATCATTTATTTTCTCTTCTATAAAATCCTGCTGACATCAAAAGATGTATAAGGATCGTGGTAATTTGAAGAACTTGGTAAACTCTAGAGTGCTGTGCCCAAATAAAGAGTTGTTATGTGATAGTAAATAATCGACTTTCTCGGGGCTGGAGAGATGGATCAATGGTTAGGGACACTGGCTGCTCTTCCCGAGGACTGGGTTTCAATAACCAGCACCCACATGGCAGCTCACACCTGTCTGTAACCCCAGTTCCAGAGGATCCAACACCCTCACACAGACTTATATTCAGACAAAATACCAATGCTCGTAAATAAAAATAAATAAGTTTAAAAAATAATTGGCTTTCTCTTGAGAAGTTGACGGGACTGTAGAGTCTTCAGGAGTTGCTGTGTGCTAGAATTTAGGTGCCTTTCTACTTTCTATCAAAAAATAAATTTTCATGGGTATCCATCGAACCCTTTTGTGATTAAAAACTTTTTTTTAGAAAATTGCTTCCAGTGATTTTATAAAAAGAGAAGATAGGTTGGATTTTGTTTATGGTTAAAATTGGTAAATGTGTCACTCTTCTCAATGAAAAACAGAACTATTTCTTCACTTCCAGAATATTTACTTACTTGGCCCTAAACAGACTCATCCAAGCTAGAGTTTTAGCAACCCTACAAAGGTTCCATCATTGCTTCTGGGTCATAGCTCCATCCATCCAGTAGAATCACCTCATTTCCTTCCTCCTCTTTTCCTCTCCCTATTCCTCCTCCTCCTCCTCCTCCTCCTCCTCCTCCTCCTTCTTCTTCTTCTTCTTCTTCTCTCTCTCTCTCTCTCTCTCTCTCTCTCTCTCTCTCTCTCTCTCTCTCTCTCTGCATGTATCTAGCCAAGTCTCCTTGAAATTCCTTATGCTCCTGCCTCCGCTTCCCAAGTTCTAGGAATACAAATGTGTGCCGACATTCCCAGTACATTCCCTTACTTCTTATAAATATTCTAGGTTTAAAACTTATCATTTCTAAAATGTCTTTTGATTTAAAATTTTTTCAACCTCAAGATAATCTTCTTTGGAAGAGGGGATCAGAAATTCTCTGTAAACACTGAGAAAGACATCCAGTGACGGCTAGGATTCAGAGAAAGAACCAAGTCCCTTTCTCCTCCCCTGAAACAATCCTTCATGTCACTCTCCTCCCTGGTCTTGGTTTTGCTGTGAAACTCTGACATCCTATTTGCGTTAACGAGGAAAAGCTGATAGCATGGAAATGTCCTTAGAAACAGCATTTACCTCAGGGGAGGCCTCTGGAAGAACTGTCGAGAATCGTGGTTGGTTTTTCTGATTACTCAGGATTTGATCTCTAATACGTATTTCCCATTAACGCTGGAATCCAACACTCCCTTTAATTTTATATCAGGGTTATTGTTTTTCTCTGTTGGAGAAAAAGCTGTAGTATAGGGACAGCTTCAGAGAATGCTGCAGATTGTACTGGGGATGGGAAAGCCAGTGAAAGGTCTATACCGACTTTCCAGGGAAATTTTAGTTCAAGAGGCTTGGTCCTGGCTAGGTACCTCAATCCTTTGTGACCCCGAGGAAAACATTTAATCTCTATAAAGCTGTGTTTAATATCACAGAAGGCCACTTCACCTAACTGTCCAGTCACTTACTCATTCACCTAAGACAGTTTATGTACTTTAGAGCAGTTAGAGAACCAAGAGGAAAATCCAACTCGCAACGTTTTTATAATCTGTAACATGGTGAATGAATGTGAAGGCATTTTGCTAATATGTAGCTTGCTGCTAGCATTGTCCAATATAATATATGTATTTTATAATTATATTATAAAGTATAATACGAGCCATGTGAGCAATTTGAAATTTTCTCATTTCAAAAAAGTGAAAAGAAAGTAGTATAATTTATTTTAACTATGAATTTTATTTAACCCAATGGATACAGATTGTCGTTTCAACATATAACCGACATAAAAATTATTAGTGGGCTGGCCAGATAGCTCTGGATAAAGGCGCTTGCTGCCAAGCCTGATGGCTGGGGTTCAATCCCTGGGCTTCCATGATGGAAGGAGAGAACTGACTCCTGAAAATTGTTTTCTGAGCTTGGCACGCACATGCATACATGGAGACACGCATGTACACAAAATATGATATTTTAAGAAATAAAATTTAAAAAATTATCGAGCTATTTAATAGCTTTTTGTACTACGTTTAAAAATCTGATTCACTGTTTACATTTTCAGCACATCTTGACTTGCACTTTCCACTTTGCGGGTTTCTGTGGCTAACTATGGCCCTTTCTTCTCCGGTCTAGGTATTATGAGACAGGAAGCATCAAGCCGGGGGTGATTGGAGGATCCAAACCAAAGGTTGCCACTCCCAAAGTGGTGGAAAAAATCGCTGAGTATAAACGCCAAAATCCGACCATGTTTGCCTGGGAGATCAGGGACCGGCTGTTGGCAGAGCGAGTGTGTGATAACGACACGGTACCCAGCGTCAGCTCGATCAACAGGTGAGGCCTGGGATGTGGTCGGGCCGCTGGAGTGGGGCCGCCGGACTGAGGGTCCGCGCTTGCCTTCTCTGAAGGTTCACTCCTTGGGGATAGGAGCAAAGCATAACTCCAGTGATGCTTGCTGGACTCTGTCACCTTTCTCTTCTCTAAAAGGGACAGGAGTTCTCAGTCCGGGGGGAGGACACCATGCCAATAACCAGGCCACTTGAATTCTCGGAGCCAGGGAGTGATTGGCATCACCCGGTTCACTATCTACCTATGTGGGGCACTTTGTATAAACTGTCCTGATTAGGCCTTCACAAACACCCCTTCCCCTGCCAGGGGCTCCAGGTCTGAGTGCTAGCTCATCCCAGAGGTTCCCAGGCAGACAGTCCAGCCTCCAGTTTGGACAGAGGTTGAACCACTAGGTGTGGGAAACAAAGTTCCCTTTGGGCTGGGGACATGGAACTTTTTGTTCTAGCCCTGCTGCCAACCTGAAGTGAGAACTCTACAGACACTTGTTTGTTTTCTGAGAGTTCAGGGATTTTCTAATGATTCTAATGGGGATCTTTAGGGGTATCAGGTGCTTCAGAGCCAAAGAGATGCCTGCTCCCACACACCCTCAGATGTCACCCATGGATAGATAAAACCGGAAATAGACCATGACACCAGGTGTAACCTTTTCCTGGAGTTCACATGCTATTCTTTCTTTTCTCTCCCTTAGGCTGATCCAAAGCATATTGACTGATACTGTCAGAGCTTTAAAAATAAATTTCTGACCTGGAATAGGTGTGGAAATACATATGTGTAATTCCATCACTCTGGAGGCGGGGAGGGCAGTGATTTTGAGGCCAGTCTGAGATATATAGCAAGACCCCAACTCAAAAATTAAATACTACATAAAATGAAAATTACATTCTAGAAGAAAATTTTCTTTTCTTTCCTCTTTCTTTCTTTCTTTCCTTCTTTCCTTCTTTCTTTCTTTCTTTCTTTCTTTCTTTCTTTCTTTCTTTCTTTCTTTCTTTCTTTCCTCCTTTCTTTCTTTCTTTCTTTCTTTCTTTCTTTCTTTCTTTCTTTCCTTCCTTCCTTCCTTCCTTCCTTCCTTCCTTCCTTCCTTTCTTTCTCCTCTCTCTCTCTTTTTTAATGAGACAGAGTCTCACTATGTATCTATAGCTGGCCTGGAACTTGCTATGTGTTTGAAAAGATCCTCCTGTCTCAGGTTCCTGGATGCTGGGGTTACAAATGTACCACCGCCTGAAGAAGGTGATTTTCTATTATAGATAGTGCAGTCTCTGATCCATTTAAGGCTACAAGCAGGAGCTTCGGGTATAGCTCAGCTGGTGGAGCACTTGCCTTGCGTACAGGAAGCCCTGGGTTACATCCCTAGCATGACCTAACCCTGGTGTAGTGGTATATGTCTGTCATCCCAGTATCTGGAGTTACAGTAGAGTTAAAGATCATCCTTTAGGCAACATGGAGGTTTCTAAGTGAGAGACTTGAGATTCTGCCTCCAAAACCCAAAGAAATAAATAATTAAACAAACAAACCCACAGTCGTGGATGAAATGATGAGGTGAATATAAACAATTGTTTCTCTAAAACCCACATAAGAAAAAGAAGCCAGAAGTCTTGGAATTGAACCATTCCAATTTCTTCAGAGTCACAGCCTACTGTGGCTAGTGCTGAGACTGAGCACAGAGAATGACTCACTCTCAAAAGAAAGAGGTGGTCAGACTGGAGTGTCCCTGAAGTCTCCTCTGGTCCTGATGGCAGCACGGTGGCCCAGTGCTCAGCATCCCCATGTGATGGATGTGTTGACTTTCTAAGTCCCACTAATTTATCAACCCGTGGCCCATTTGCTTCTCTTTTGCCCTGCCATCTTGTGAGATGCTGAAGAAGAGGGAAAGTGGGTGCAATCTTTTCAGATTTGTCCTAGAGGGTAGAGCTGAGGAGAGGGTGACGATGCCAGCAGGCCAGGGGTGAGGGGTGTGGTATCTACTTTTTCCCTGAGTTATGAAAGGTTACAGTTGTGAGTTCTCCACACTGGGCTCATTGCAGGATTTTCAGTACACAAAACAAACATGATTTTTTTCTGGGTATCCAGGTTATTGTTTTTCTTTTTAAAAGTAAATTGCATTGCAGAATGATGGAAATTCTGCTAGGAGAGAAGAGAGTTGGCAAATCAGAGATCCAAACCACTTTTCCAGTGAAATTTTAGTGGAAGATGTGAATTTTGCTAATATATATCATTCTATTACTATTAGATACAACTTGAAATTTTCTAGTAGATATTAAGAAAAGTAAAAAGAAATATGTATAATTAATTGTGGTTATATTTATTTAACTCAACATAAAAAAGTATTTCAATGCAAAATCAGTATGAAAATTATTAATGATCTATTTAGCATCCTCTTTGTTTGATACTAAGCTTTAAAAATGTGATTTACAGCACAACTGGACTCATACTGGGCACATGGCAGTGTCCCCATGGTTAAGCACCATACTGCTTAGGTCCCTATGAGGCAGGAGGAACAGAGGCAGTATTGGAGAAGTTGGTCCGCTCTGTAGGGTGACCTTGCACAAACACCTCGTCAGGATTTGGGAGGCCCACACATTTCCCAATGTAGGGTACACACACGGTGACATGGTCCACAGCATAACCTCGGGTGCCCCACGGCAGTCACAGACTGTATTGCCTATGTGGATGGGACAGGCAGATGGCTAATGAAGGAAGCGGGTCAGGTGGGAATCCAGAGACTCCAGGGGCTGAGGCAGGTGAGACAGCACGGCCCTGTGGGTGGCAGCCACTCCTGAGTCTCAGCTGAGTGCTGCTGGGAGTGTGAGCCGGAGCCTTTTTCTCCTCAAGAGAATCTAGAAACCAGGATCTCTGTGTGGGTGTGGATGCAGATGCACACGCATGAGAAACATCTAGACTTTCAAATGGTGGCAATTCATCTAGAGTATAACACAGGCAGGGCTCCAGTTTTAATCTTCTGAAATGCAATGAATCATGTTCACACGATTTAGAAAGATCTAAGTGCCGTACCACACCAGTGCGTTTGTGAACACTGGGAGCTTTCTCCTACCTACTTGCAGTAGGGAGGTCTAGCTGCCTTATGTGCTTCATCTAAGGGACAGCAAGATGGCTCAGTAGGTGAAGGCATTTGCTGCCAAGCCTGAGGAGCCAAGTTCCATCCCTGAGGACCCACGTGGTGGGAGGAGAGAACTGACCCCTGAGAGTTGTTCTGTGATCTCCATATGCACTGTCACCTACTCAAAATAAATAAACAAGGGTCATTTAAAACTACATTTAAGTCCAGAGTAAGTTATTTCAAAGTAACATGTGAAGCAAAGATGGAAGTGGTTATGGCCGTGGCACGGGCCGTGGAGGGTGGACTGGAATCGGTGGCCCAGGAACGACTGTGGCATGGGCCGTGGAGGGTGGACTGGAATCAGTGGCCCAGGAACTACTGTGGCACGGGCCGTGGAGGGTGGACTGGAATCAGTGGCCCAGGAACGGCTGGCATGTCTGATTCTGTGCATTTAGTGCTGTGTGACAGGAGGTTCTGAAGCTGGGGCCTGGGGCCATGGCTAACTTCTGGGACCTCAGGGTATCTTAGACGTGGTTGGCTGATTGAGTTCCCACATGGGCTCTCTATCTGTGGCCTCCCACAGCCCTCAGGCCTGGTGCTGTCCCTGGCAGGTGTAGAGCTGACGCCCAGATGGGAAGGCCAGGGGAACGGTAACGGGGGTGGAAACTAGAGTAGAGTCAATGGTAAGATGGGGTCTGGTGTTCTTCCATCAGTGTCCTATAGGTCTCTGCAAGTCATCTCCCATGAGAAGGAGGCCAGGAGGAGATGCCACCATCCTTTCCCTGTTTCAGAGCATCATGGTATGCTTTGCTGTCTGCTGATCCCTGGCATCCTTAGCTCTTTCCGGTGCATTTTTCCGGGGCTCCTCTTGGGGACTCCTCACTGCATCTTCCGTGAGAGTGCCCCAAATGTGATGCAGTCTCTTTCCAATGCACCCTCCCCAACCCCAATCTCCCTGGAAAGTCTATGCCATCCACTACAGAATTTCTTTTATTATTTTTTTTATAGTAAGGCAGAACCCATTGCGTTGAGAATGATGTGCCTTCAAATAACCAGTGTGCAAGTGTCAAAAGAAAGAGAGTCCATCGCTCTTTCCTAGCTATGCTCCCACCAAGGCAAATTCTCACTCTTCCTCTATTTTAAACAGCCAGAAGGAAGGTGATGCCTGCATTTGCAGTTATTCTAGTGGCCACGGGGTCCTCTCTACTGCTCTCCCCGGGAGCAGGTACCATCTTGCTGTCTGCAGGAACCAACTCTGGAAACAATGCTGATGTGGAGCTAAATATCACTGAAGCACTTGTACCAGGCTGGTGGGGCCTTCCTGGGGGTCCTCACGTCACCTTGCTCATTTGGGGTGCTGTACAGACTGCACCAGAGAGTCCTGAAGTCCAGGCAGAGTGTCAGCTGAAGGTGGCTGTCTCAGAGCTGACTGAAATGGTGGGTGGAGTGAGGTCATCCCTCTTCTGTTCCAGTTCTGTGTCTCTAAACTAGTGGCCAAGTGCTGGGACAAGTGGCATTCCCAGCTGAGGGGTGGGGTGGGGCAGGCTCTGTTCAGCACCAACTGGCTGGTGTGCATGTGAGAATTGGGACCAGCATTACTGGTTCAGGTTAAGTTTTTATGGAGAAACCCAAAGCTTACACATCACTTGCTGTTTATTCAATAAACAACAAAATAATCTTCCCAGGAGCTGGAGGTAGCCTGGTGAATGGTAGTTTGTTAACTACTTATTTTTGTTTTTGTTTTGTTGGAGGCAGGGGCTCACCCTGTGGTCCAGACAGGTTTCCAACTGCTGATACACCTGCTTCAGCCTCCCGAGTGCTGGGATAGCAGGCCTGTGCCACCATGCCAGCCTTACTTCTGCTTTTTAATCTTAACTTTGGCAGCAAGTCTTCTGAGATGACTCTTCACTCCCACTTTCTTCTCCATGCC